ACAAAAAAAAACGATTACGCAGTGCCAACATAAAAGATCGTCAGCAATACTGCCAACTGCTCTCGCGGTGTAACTAACTTACTAAACCGAGTGCAACTGCATTCTTGCATCGATAATTCATTGCCTTTCTCAACACTCCCTCTCAATGAATTATTTCATAAAACATCAAACATAAAAGAACAAAACAAAAAAGAACATGATGCTTTTACAATCACTTAATGACGAATAATCAACTTCCCAGTAAGCAAAATGCACGCAATATGCCAGCAGATTGGCAACAGATTTCCTCAGTTCTTGCTAGCAATTTGGCATCTGTTATGTCCGCATTAGGCTAATAATCTGCCAGCAGAGCCTGCTCACAGAATCTGAGAGCAGATTGGCAGCAAAAACCGAGCAGGATCTACTAACATGATTTGACGACAGATTGATGGCAGAAACCGAGCAGGATCTGCGCGCGCACAATCTGACGGCAGATTGGTAGCAGAAACCGAGCAGAATCTGCAGCTTTTGGCCATTCATATAAAATGGTGCATTTAAATAAATTTAAAGGATCTCAATCCCAAGTGGCAAAATGACGGTGAATTTTGGTCACAAATGACGTCAATTGTTGATATGTCACATTCACGAAACGTCATTTCCTGATATATATACCCAGCAAACACACTTTTATAACTATATTATAACGGTTACATAACTCATTGTCAGTGTAACCGAATATAACAAGTAATATTACAGATTTGTAACATGTAATACACTCATTCCTTGTAATTTCCCACTCAAGGAAGCAACAATGTTATATAGCAATTATACATTTAATTGTAACAGTTATATAATATTATATTATTGATACATTAAGAACATAATTGTAATAAAATTAATATATAACATGTTATTGCTACTGATTTGATATTTATATAATTTTGTTATATGAATGTTACATCATAACTTTTACATGTTTTTGAATATACATTTAAATACAGCACAAGAAGGTGCAGAAACATTACATAGTATGTATTTATAATAATATAGTAGATGTTTTTCATTTTAACATATATACGTTTTCTAAAGTTTGCAATTACAAATATTACCCAGCAAACACACTTTTGTAACTATGTTATAACGGTTACATAATTCAGTATAACGGAATATAACAAGTAATATTACAAGATTGTAACATGTAATACTCTCATTCCTTGTACTTTCCCACTCAAGGAAGCAGAAATGTTATGTAGCCGTTATACATTTAATTGTAACAATTATATAATGTTATATTAATATTACATTAAGAACATAACTATTATAAAATGAAAATATAACGTCATTGCTACTGATTTGATATTTATATAATTTTGTTATATGAATGTTAGATCATAATTTTTAAATGTTTTTGAATATACATTTAAATACAGCACAAGAAGGTGCAGAAACATTACATAGTATGTATTTATAATAATATAGTAGATGTTTTTCATTTTAACATATATACGTTTTCTAAAGTTTGCAATTACAAATATTACCCAGCAAACACACTTTTGTAACTATGTTATAACGGTTACATAATTCAGTATAACGGAATATAACAAGTAATATTACAAGATTGTAACATGTAATACTCTCATTCCTTGTACTTTCCCACTCAAGGAAGCAGAAATGTTATGTAGCCGTTATACATTTAATTGTAACAATTATATAATGTTATATTAATATTACATTAAGAACATAACTATTATAAAATGAAAATATAACGTCATTGCTACTGATTTGATATTTATATATTTGTTATATAAATGTTACATCATAATTTTCAAATGTTTTTGAATATACATGTAATATTTACCATATATAACAACTATTAGGTGTACAACTTTGCTTCCGCCGTTTTTTTCCAAAATTCGAGGCTTTATTGTAAAAAACTGGTTATACATTTATGATTCAAAGTATTGTCCATCGCTGGCCACTACTTTCTCCCATCTTTCGGGCAGCGTACGAATCCCGCGTTGAAATAACTGGTCATCTTTTGAAGCGATCCACGAATTGATCAAATTTCTTACTTTTTCATAAGACCGGAAGTGCTGGTCAACCAGGCCGTGTGCCATTGATCGAAACAAGTGATAATCAGAGGGAGCAACGTCTGGAAAATACGGCGGGTGGGGTGGGATTTCCCATTTCAACGTTTCCAAGTATATCTTGACCACTTTCGCAACATGAGGTCGAGCATTGCCATGCTGCAAAATCACTTTATCGTGTCTCTCGTTGTATTGCGGCCGTTTGTCTTTTAATGCTCGGACGTAAATCAACAGTTCTCGCAAATGATGCTTATTCGGCTCAAAGTCGACATTTTCGCACACAAAAGAATATATTATTCTGATAAAAAATCACTAATGTTTTAAGGTTATGTTATTGACTGATGTCCAATCTTACGATAAGGACGTTTTACATCTGACAATTTTAACCATAACTTACTGGTGGCGCCAACTTTTGTCAAACGGCGGAAACTTATTTGTACACCTAATACATCCATCTGTATTGAAATCCAGTTCTAAATAATTAACAATAGATGCGATTGGAATATCTGAAAGGTGTTGAATAATCCCTGCTTCAAGATCAAAATGGATATATTCTCCCGGTTCTACATCAGAAACGACAACACGTCTATGTGGTGTATCAAGAAGTGTTCTTATATCTTTTGAATCCTGCAGAATCTCAAATTATTATTATATTCTTCGTTCACACTAATTACTGCCGCAACGGTTGAACTCAGAATCACTCAGAATGATCGAGAAATTCAAGAGAGCGGCCCGTGAAAAATAACGGTAAGGCTGCGACCGCTGTGTGACCAATCACGAGCTTCGGCCAATCCAATATGGATTCCACCTAGATAATCATATGGCGGGGAACTTTTACGCAAAATCCGACCATATTGTTGAATTATTTATTTTTTATATTAATTATATATCTATATATATACTATGTAATATATATATTATATAATACAATTATA